CGAGTAAGACAAGCAGTCTAGGATGAGTCGAGGAGTAATGGCAAATAAGAGCCGGAGACAAGTGTATGAACTCATGTTTGGCTCATACAGACACAGACAGATGGAGAAATATTCACAGATGTGTGTACGCAATATACATTTCTTACTCTGCTGGCTCACAGAACCGAGAAGCAGAGACACCCGGTACTGAGTGCACCTACTGCCCAGATGTTGCTCTCTAACACCACCCTCCAATACAAGGAACCAGGGTCCTTGCAGAAATGGCCGATTCCAATCTAGGGATCAAGTGGAACACACACACAATGGGTTGGATCTTTTGGGTTTTTTTTCCCTTAAGAGATTTTTGTTACAGGGCACATGTGCTCGCCAAAGAGAGAGACCAAAAGCGAGAAATCATCCCCCAGGGAGATGGCCAAGCTGCAATCCCTTTTCTCCTTCATTTTCCACTCCAGATTGTAGGTATGCATTCGTATGCACCCGGCATTTCAAGCCACCGGGTCTAAGACTCAGCGCCTTAATCACCATGCCACCTGTTGGCCCCGAGCTTGGATCTTATATCGGATCTTGTAGTGCGAGTAAGTAAGGAGGTGCTCGATAACCAAATAAATGAAGTCCACAATGCTCGGGTCTGTCACGAGAACACAAGAGCCAGCTGAAAGCACTCCCAAATGGCAAAGCTGGGACAATTTGAATGACGAAATAAGTAGTACTAGATAAAACCTGAAATATAAAATACTTACCCTTGAGCCCACACTGATATACATGAATAACTGAGTAAGTGAATAAATGAGGAAAAGAGACAACTCTCATGTAAAGCATTCTAAACAATTTATGTGGCTACTCTGTCCTCAGGAAGGTGGAGCATAACTTACTCCTTACAAGTTAGGGTCATACACTATGGGGGTTCCTTCCAGGATAATGGAAGAGGGGAAGAAATCTCTCCTGTGGCCAGGTGATCCAGGTCAGCATCAGCAGTGACAGATCAGTGTTTTGTTTGTTTTAGAGAGTTTTGCTATAGGGTGCTCGCTGTGTGTGCTCGCTGGAGAGACAGAGAGAGAAAAGAGACGAAAGTGAGAACTCACCCCCTAGGGGGATGGCCGCACTACACACCCTTCTCTTCCAGTCTCCTCTCAGGATTTTGAGCACGCACACACATGCACCTGGTGTTTAGTTTCAAGCCGCCAGGTCTGAGACTCAAACCATGGTCAACTATGTGGGAGTTCAGCACCCCAACCATTACAACACCCGCTGGCCCCAACAAATCATACTGTTAACATATACTCTTAAGATGATATGATTGAACATGGCTTTTTACTACCTCTATAGTCTTCCTCAGTCCACAACCACAGTCTACCAGTCTATCATGAGAAACGTATCAAACAAGTCCCCCAGTTGAGGGACACCCTGCAAAACACCCGACCAGTATTCCTCATGCCTGTCACGAAATCCAGTCAAGTGGCACAGCCAACTGCTGGCTCAGATCCCGGGTCAGCTTGAAAACACACCAGGTGTATGTGGCACGCCCAGGATCCAACAACCTGGGGCAGGGGAAAGAGGATGATCACAGTACAACAGCAAAACGGTGTCAAGACTGCCCCTCAGGCCAGCCACAGCAGTAACTGAGACGGCTAGATGCCACATGGCCAACGGCACGGTTCAAGTCCTGGATCCAGCGGCTTGAAAATCATGCCAGGTCCACGCGTGTGCAAATGTGCATAAAATCCCGAGAGGAACGGAGAAGATGAAACTGCAGTACAGCCATCCGCTCGGGGGGACGCGTTTCACTTTCTCCTCTCTCTCTCCTTCTATCCAATGAACACACGTGCCCTCTAACAAACCCAAAATTTTTGGAAGAGTGCCCCTTCTCATGTGCACTCTATCATATAGAACGTAAATGTTAAAAACTAGACTGTGGGGGCCAGTAGGTGGCATGGTGGTTAAGGGCGCTGAACTCCCACAGGGCCCACCTCAGTTTAAGTCCCAGACCTTGGCAGCTTGCTTTCTCGCTTTTGCTCTCGCTCTCGCTCTCTCTCTCTCTCTCTCTCTCTCTCCCTGCCCCCTGGAAATAAATTAATAAATTAAATAAAATAATTATTTTTTTTAAAAAAGACTACAAAGGCCATCAAAAACAAGAAATGTCTAAGAAACCATCAGAGCCAAAAGGAACCCAGGGAGACGTGACAACCAAATGGAGTGTGGTGTTCTGGATGGGATTCTGGCACAGAAAAGGGACCTTAATAGAAATCCCTGAGACCAGCAGGTGGCGTGGTGGTAAGACGCTGGACACTCCCACGTGGCTGACCACAGTTTGAGTCCTGGACCTGGTGGCTTGCTTTCTCATTTCTCTCTCTTTCTCTCTCTGGTCAAATTACAATGAATAAATGAATGAATAAAATTAAATAATTCTTTTTTTAAAAAATAGAAAACCCTAAGGAAATCTCAATAAAGAATAGGCTTTAGCTGGTAATAAGACATCCATGTTGACTCTTCAATTATGACACATGTATCACACTCGTGTGGTAAAACATAACAGGGGAAACTGTATGTGCATGTGTGTATACATGTGCATGTGTGTGTGTGTAGTGAAGGTAACATGCCAGCTCCCAGCATTATCTTCACCACTTGTCCAGACATTGAAACTATTCTAAACTTAAGCTTATCTTTCAACCATAGAATAGAAAGTGAGAGGATGACTCCTTCGGACCAGGTGGCCACTCTGTGACCTTGACATCCGAGATGAATCTGAGCCGTGATGAGAGTGGCCAGCAGCACCCCGGCAGCATGTTCCCAGCAAACAGCAGAAGACACATGGGGGGGGGGGCAATGAGAGAGCAGAGAGGAGGAGGGAAGGCCTAGGAACTCGAATAGCATCAGGGCAGAGGGTTCAAGGCGGGGCAAACAGAACGCCATGAGGAACGGAGGCCAACACAGCTGCCCCAGGAAAGCAGGTCACAGTGACATCAGACTTGAGCTCAAAAGGGGGCTAGAAGGTCATGGAAGGGGACTGACGAAATGCGAAGGCTCTGACCCACGTCCTTAAGATCATCCTGGCTGCTGTGGGGAGGGTGGGAATGAGAAGGGCCCGCCCAGAACGGTGGCATTTCAGCCATCAGCCTGGCTCCGGGGCTAGGGGGAGCATGCCGAAGAGCTGGGAGCATCTGCAGGGTAGAAGGGAGGTCTCCGCAGTTACAAGGAAGAGAAAGGGTCTGTCTGCACAGAGGGGGTCTGCGCAGGGCAGGTTGACTATTCCTGACTTTGACCCTTTGGGAAAGGTCCCCAAGAGGGCTATAGGGCATTCCGGGAAGGAAGCGCCTCCGTGGAGGCCCCTCTCAGCTCATCCTGCTCTGTCCCTTACTACCACGAGACACTAACTTGGAGCCTCAGTTTCCGCACCTGCAAAGTGGGAAGGACACCTTCTAATCATAAGGGGTTAGAGGAACTCACTAAGAGTAAGCTCCTGAATGAGCACAACCTTCCTAAATACCATCAGCGGGTATCATTCTTTCAAGAGAAGTCTGAGATAAGAGGAACCTTAGACAGACTCGAACCCAACATCCCATTTTTCAGGTAACACAATGGAGGAAAAGAGACAGTGTCCACGTACCCTCGGGAAAGCGAACAGCACAACCAAGACAAAGACCCCTGTCCAGACTGGCTCTGCAGCCCCCCATGTGTCCTGCTAGACCAATTCCATTTTTTGAGAATTATTGATTTAATTTTTATTGATCAGAGAAAGATAGAGACAGAGAGGGAACATGGGAATGCAAGACATGAGGTCTAGGCTCGAACTGCGGTTGGCCATTTGGAAGTCCAGCACCTTAACCACCACCTCACCTGCTGGCCCCTAATTCAATTCTAACCAAAAGAAGGGCACTGGGAAGTGTCCCAGTGACCTGCGCGCCCCTGTCATTTGGGGAAGGTGCTTTCCTGTAGCTGTCACTCTCCTGGTCATTAAGCATCGTAAGGTCCCTCCCAAAAACCAAATGAAGAAGTACCAATCCTTCAATTAGAAGCTACCAAGGACTATGACAGGCCTCTGAATCAAAACAGAAAACATGGGGGCCAGCAGGTGGCGTAGTGGTTAAGGCAATGGACTCCTTGGACTCCTGCGTAGTCAACTGGAGTTTGAGTCCCAGACCCAGTGGCTTAAAACACACTAGAGGTGTGTGTGTGTGTGTGTGTGTGTGTGTGTGTGTGTGTGCGCGTGCGCGCGCCCAAAATCCTAAGAGAAGAAGGATTACAGCATAGTTATTAGGGGGGGGTGATATCTCGCTTTCTGTCTCTATCTCGCCAGTGAACACACCCTATAGCAAAAGTCTCTCTCAAAAAAAAAGTAAATAAAGTATACTAATTTGCAGCATTTCAGAAAGTCCTACATCTTTCTTCTATCTCTAACCCAAGACCACCATTTTCCAATGAAATGGGCTGTCTTCCCACATCTGCAATTCCAAAAGAGGTCTGCTGTAAAAACTAGGAAACTAGCAGGCACAGTATGCTTCCAGAATGTGCTTTCTTGAAATTCTCTTAAGAATTATTTAGCTTTATTTATTTCAGTTCAACCAGAGGGACACTGTGGGGGATGGGGATGAGAAACCAAGCCACCAGGTCCAGGACTCGAACCATGGTGGGTCATGTGGGAGTCCAGTGCTCTTAGCCACCATGCCACCTGCAAGCCCTGCTTTCTTTAAATTCTGACTCCTGAAAGTCACCCTGCAGGGGGAGGTAGCCAGCTGCCCTCAGTCAGGACACACATGTAGCGTGTACTGTCAGGACGATTCCCAGCAGGTCCGCATACCTACACAGACACGCAAGGAAAAGAAAACCTAAAGGAAGGGATTGCTCCATAAACGAGGTTCATCCATCAAAGGTTCTGCATCTCTAAATCCAACTAGTGTCACCACGTCGGCTCCGAGAGCCACACTTCACTGCTTCACAACAACAAAAAGAAATTCCAATTTCCTCCATCGCTCTGGAATAGACAATACAGGACTTTTACTCACCTTTGGAGCGAGTAGAGATGTCCATACCCTCTACCACCTCCTGTTCTGTTTTTATTTCCTCTTCAGCCAAGCTGAAACAGAGCAAATGAGGTCCATGTTTAGGAAGGCTGAGACCTTGCCCCGTGGGACAGCTATTTAGCAGTTCTAACAACAAACCCACCTTCAAGACAGTCCCCCATGTTCTTATCCAGGGGTGGAGGGAGAGAAACACACTTGATTTCAACCAAGTGTTAAGATTCCTAGAGGAGGCTTTTTAAACATTGATTCTTTTTTCGAGTAAATTACTGTTCCAGTTGTGCTATTGGGGGAGGGGAGATGCAAAAAGATACACAATTACAATCTACCCGATGGGCCACTGAGAACCCAGCCTTCAAATAATCAAGTTTCTCATCAATCACACTGGGTTCAAAGGCAGGCAATAAGTTGGAGGGTTTTGTTTTGCAGGGCCGGGGTACGCAGAGTTCTGATCCTCATGTCCTGCAAGGCAAAGATCATTTCCCAAAACGGTCCCCTCAAACCTCACAATTTCCTGATGAGGCAGTGATAGGATAAAAAGAGGGTAAATTACAAAACAAAAAACTATGCTCAGGCTAGAAGCAGAAAACCTGATCTCGAAACACTCAAACCAGTACATATCCCAGGCATTAGTATTGGGGTCTCTAGTACCCTTCATGTTTCTTCTCGGAAGCAGACATGGCTCATACTTGTGAGGCATGACTAATTATTCTTACCACAAAAATGGAATGAGGAAAGGTTATTTAAAAGACACAGACTAAAGGATGGGGAGAGAAGCAGAGAAAGCAGGCCCCTTCGCTGGGAAGTTTTGTCACCCAGAACCTTCCCTTTATCTTTACTGCCAACTCAAGAAAGCAGGTCACTTCAGAATCCCCTCCCCATGGATACCTCACAAGCCAAACCAAAGGAAGAAGTGAAGTAAAACTCCAGGCCTTTTTAGGCCAATCGCCTGAGGTGCTAGAACTTTCCCAACATTCAGGCTGACACTGAAGTATGAGAGTCTAGGCAATTCCTCTAGATGCAATCCCATCAAACCATGTTTCAACCAGAAAAAAAGGGGTGCATCACCAATTGACAGGACTGGAATTTTCCATCTGGAAGACTCAAAGCCAAGACAGGAAGGAGGCCGGGGAAGAATGTCCTGTCTGTGCCCCGTGGTCTGCGGCTATGACAGGGAAAAAGACAGTCCAACAAAGCAGACTCAGGTCTGGAACCCCGGGTTCACATGGAGAAGACTTGTTTACGAGAGTTCTGTGTTTGCTGGGCAGAGAGGATTCAGGGCGGCAGCTAGCTAGGATGCAAAAGATAATAGCTCAGAACGATATGATAGGAGCTCTGATAGGAGCTCGGTGGCCTCAGATTTAAATAGTCCCAGCAGGGAGAGGAAAGAAAAGGTAATTTGGGTTTGAACCAGAATCTTAACAGTTTCAGCATTCTGATATTGAACCCCGTTCGCAATTTCATTTACACAGCATCTATAAAGAAAGCCGGACAGAAATCACCAAAGCAACAACTGACGTGTTGTCACAAGTGGTTTTCACCAGAAGAAAGCAGCCTGCTAAATCTAAACACATCACTAACATGCAATAATACAGCAGTGATTCACTGAAGGCAATTATAGCATTAATACTTTTCTCAACTTAAGAGGAAACCATTTTCAACTCAGAAACACCCTCCACCTAGAACCAAATAGGAACCTACTACACAGGATGTCCAACCAAATACTGATGACGGATTTGCGTTTGTTAATAAATGTTAACCAAAAGCCTCTCACAGAAGGGTGGGTGGTTAACATCCTAAGAAAATCCACCTAGATCTTTGTAACCACTAGAATTCTGTTTCCCTCTCTAGCATGAAGCATGTGAAATATTAAACTTCTTGAAACTGATCCCATATTTTGAGTGATGGATGAAACGCTAATCTGTGGGACCCAACCAGAATGTACAGTGGTGAAAGAAACAATCGTGTGTAATACAGCCCAAAAAAACCCACTTGGAGAATTTCTGCAGCAGGGAACACATTCAAAGGTGTATTGATTATGGAGAAGAGCTACCTTCAAGAGAACAATTATTTGGCTTGTAACAGCCCAGAAGAACCGATTACTTGAGTCAGGAATGCTGCTGAGAGGCCAAGGAAATGCAAGCTAGTTATGAGGTGGCTATTTGCTCCTGAGTTTAAGATAATCAATTCTGGAGCAGAAGAGAGAGGGGAAGAAAAGTTAAGCTGTTTTATCTGTCCAAGTATTACAAGTGGATACTGTAATCACCTAACTTTAGCAGCAGTACCACTAGCTTTAGTCCAGGATTCCAAGCACTATTTAAGAAAACCATCTTTTTCACAGATCAACAGCTATCCTTTCAAAAGGAACCCATGCACACAACATGCACACACGCACGCACACACAACACACACACACACTCACAATAACTTGTATTTGTCTAAAGGAAACTGCAGTGTCTATGCATTAAAGAGAAGGGGTGGGGGAAACTTCATTTACAAAAGCACAGACCAGAATGCAAAATTAGTCATTTTGAATAGCCACATCTAAAGGGACTTCCTTTTTTCTACACCACTGATCTTGGGTTTTTGGGTTTTTTTTTTTTTTTCTTTCTTTCTTTCTTTCTTTCTTTTTTTCTTTTTTGGCATAGTGTTAAGTACTAATATGTTATTGGGACGGGAGAAGCAATGACTATTACATCAGAAGTCGTGAGAAAAAGATTTGTACCTGTCCAAAAGCTCCACAGAACCTGGTCAATTTAGGTTAAGGAGAAAAAAAATGGTCAACCAACAATTGTTAAGACGGAGGAAAAAAAGGCAGCTGCACCTAGAGAAAATACTTTGAACTTCTGTCATTAACACATTAAAGTCTTAGAAAACATACAGCTTCTCCTTCCATATCTGCTCGCTTCTATCAACTCTCATCATTCAAATGAAAAACAATGGAACAACAACAAGCCCTTGTTTCAAAGTGACATTACTTTTTTTATTCTTTAAGGTCTGTTAGGGAGACTAGGGGGCCGGCTAAAACAAAGGGTAGAATTAGCTGAAAACCAAACCACCATCTCACACTGTAATAGAAAATACATCATCAACTAGTTGTATACATTGTATACACCACCACGACCACCACCACCTCTTGCACTCACATTTACCCAAGTCACTTGCCTGTGGTTTTCACAAACTGATACATTTCAGGCAATTCAAAGAAGAAACAACAGCACCTGCAAATACAACCAAGACCCTCGCATCCCGTCCAGAAAGAATAAAAGATTTCTCCCCCATGCCTGAGCAAGAAAGCCTAGGCTTACTTAACCTGCATGCACTGAAAAAAGACCAATTAAAAGTTGCAGATGAACTGCTGCTGCACCTTCAGGATGCTCTAAGAAGCCTTCTGATTATTAATTCTGAGGACTCAGGGCTGGTCCGTAATTCCCAGGAATCTCATCCCCTCAACACTACCAAAAGAGGGAGAGAAAGAAAAGAGAAAGCATCTAGGTTTGACAGGAAAATGCCTGGATGCACGATGCCCAGAGATTTCTTTTCCCCAAATGCCCCTTACTATTTTGGAGTTTTAACCAAGAATATCTACCCCAGCTAGAATATATAACCAGCATGCACAAGACTCTGGTTCTGGAGATGGGGGTCATCACACAGCAAATCAAGAATCATGCATCATTCGAAAGGACTTTTCCTGGTTTTTACTTTCATTCAAAATACCAAAATGGTCCAGGCAGTGAGAAATATTTAATCCCCAAGGCATAACAGCTTCCTCTTCTAGATCACAAAATAGTGAACATCAAAACAAAAAGCCATGCTTCCCTAAATCTGCAATTAATTTTTTTAAAAATTGGGGGGAAGGGAATGGTTAGCAGAGCAGCTTTATATAAGCACTCACCTAAAACAGGCAGAGTCATCGGTAGCTAAGCTATTTATGCAGGAGTCTTAAAATGGCGTCTGGCAACACTGCCTCATTCCTGTATGGAAGCTAAGATGGTAGCAGTTTGTTCAATAGCTGTAGCTCTTGTTTAAGCAGCCCTGCTAGTCTCAAAGCCACCTTCCTAAATATCTGAACTAGGAAAAGCTCAACCAAAGGACACCAACAACCCAACGTTTAGAAGCTGAAAAAAAAAAAAAATCTGCAATGACAGGGGAGAGTTTGTGAAGTCACAAGTTCCTAAGGAAAAGCCTTCTCTTTGAGATCCTGAGCCTTCAACACGAGGCTCTGGGATGAGGCCCCCTTGCCCTCTGATTAGGTGGGTGGAAGGTTAGAAATGATCCAGCCCCCTGGCATAAATTGCAGACAGACAGGTGTCTGTGCAAACACAAAAAATGCTCAGAGGGCGCAGGGTGGGGAAGAGGGGGAGGGAGCCCTACTCCCCCTTCTCAGTATACTAGACTGAAAAAAAAAAAAAAATCTGCAATGACAGGGAGAGTTTGTGAAGTCACAAGTTCCTAAGGAAAAGCCTTCTCTTTGAGATCCTGAGCCTTCAACACGAGGCTCTGGGATGAGGCCCCCTTGCCCTCTGATTAGGTGGGTGGAAGGTTAGAAATGATCCAGCCCCCTGGCATAAATTGCAGACAGACAGGTGTCTGTGCAAACACAAAAAATGCTCAGAGGGCGCAGGGTGGGGAAGAGGGGGAGGGAGCCCTACTCCCCCTTCTCAGTATACTAGAAACCAGCTATGCATCCCTACCAGAAGGAGCTAGGTGAAATGGAAAGTGCTTCCAGGACAGCAGGCATCTGAAAAGCCCAGCTTAAAGGGCTGCACCTCAGTCTGAGGCCAAGGTAAAACAAAAAGGCTGTTTATAACCCAGAAAACGGCCACCAAATACCCAGCTCTCTGCAACAGCCAGTCCTAAGACACTTAACATCAAGGAAAGACAATCTGAGTCTGCAAAGGAAAAACACAGTAAAACATGCCCTTATCCAATGCACAGGATACTCACAAATTAGAGTTTTGTCCACCCCCAACAGAGCCCTGAGAATTAACAATGGGTTGTGCAAAACTCCCTCTCAGAGGCCAAACGAACAGCCTCAGAGTGGGTAATGTAATTTACTGACACAGGTCTGAGAACTGGCCTCAGAAATCCTCCGCCACTGGGAGTGGAGAGTTTCAAGGTGACTGCTTCTTAGCACCAAGGGGAGAAAGAAGGGTAGGGTGCCCAAGGCCATGTCAGGGCGAGGACGGGCCACTGGCTCAGCGCCGGCCGGTGGGTAGGTAGGTGATTGTGATGGGCAAGGCCGGCTTGGCAGCCTGCAGGCTGCAGAGCTGGCATGGCTACCGCCTGCTTGTTTGTCTGTAAGGAGAGTGGGGAGGGGGAAGGGCAACCAGCCTTAGCAACCTGAAGCCAAGGGTGAATCCTCGCTCGAGCAACCAAATGGCTTCTAAAGCATATTCCCCTTTTAAATCTCTGCAGTGGGGTGGTGAGGGCCCCCTAGAATGTATCTTTCTTTTCAGGGCCAACCAGAGCCAGCTCTAAGGCTCCCAGGCTGACAAATGTCTGTTGCCTCTGCCACAGGAGAGAGAGGGAGAAAGAAGGCAAAGAAACAAAGAACTGACACATTTGAAGTGGTTGGACTTTTTTAAAACCTACCTTTGCTTTCGGGGTTTTTCTAGGTTACTGTCACCCAGCTTTCTTAAAAAGTGCCTCGTTTCCCCCCTGTCCCATTTCAGACCCGATGCAGTTTCTCCACTGGTTCTCCCAGGGAAAGAAAAGGGGGAATGTTTTGTTTCAAAGAAAAGGGGTTACAAGAAAGAAAGGGGAAAAAAGCTATTGTTTTCATCCCTAATTTATAATCCGAGAGGCCCCATTGTTTCTTTCTTTCTGCCTCAAATCTTTGAGCTGTTAATTATAAAAGTAACTGGACTTGGCTCCAGCGGGCTATGTTCGTGCTCAGCAATTAGAAAAACTCTGTAGAAAGTTTACTGAGTGATTATATATAATTAATTCCTAGTTACAGACTGAACACTGACCATTTTCTGGAGCTAATAAAAGCGGTTACCTCCCCCTCCCCCACGTGCATGCCACTTAATTTCCCAAAGCAGAAAGTGAATCCATCCTGGAGGGTCTTGAAGGAAGGGAGGGAAAAAGAGGGAGGACAATCGAAAGCTCCAGTGTGTCTTGTTTGTTCCTTGCAGCTGTGCATCCCTCTTTGGGGACTGAGGAGGCAGAAGGAAAAAAGAAAACAGCCCATCATTCTATCCCTCCCTGTGCAATTTACGAATGTGGCAGAGAGACCATTCTACCTTGATGAGGAAAAGAAGTGTGGGGAGGGGCGGGGGGTGATCCCCTAGGAAAGGAATGTAGAGGCTCTTCAGATTGGCCCATCTGCTTTTCCTAAAAAAAAAGGGACAAAAATGGTAGAACTTTCTAGAAGGCCCATTCTTATTCCAGCCACAGCAACTGTCCATCTTTAACCTTTCCTCCAGGTCTATTGGTTCACAAGCTAGAGAGAGGAACCCCATTGGGCTGCTCTGGGGGCCAGCACTGCTGTCCCTAACTAAGCCCTGCTGCAATGCAGACCTTTACTGTCTTTCCTTTAGTGAACCTGGAAAACAATGCTACTTGGAAAGCAATTAACTTTTTCCAGACCCATGCTTGGTGGTGGCCACAGTCCCAGAGGAAAGTGACTAGCTTGCTCCAGGGCTGGGGACTTGCTGGAGTTGCACATCTGAAAACAGAGCTTAGCTTTCCAAACCTGTAGGGGCCATTTTCATGCACGCTTTTAGAGGACAAATGTCTTGCCCTCAAGTTTCCTTCCAGCCCAACAAACACAGCATTATGCAAACGTTGACGGCACCAACCCAGGAGTCTTGTGATTAGATATTGCTTCCAGGGAGGCCACAAGAACCTCAATACGTAGTAATTTCCATTTACGGCAAGGAGATAAGAACAAAGAAAAAGCTAAGTGTCTGAACTTACTTGTGTGGGGTAGTGACACCATTCACATCGTTAACTGCCTGCTCTTTTAGTCCAAGAAGCTGACCTGCCTTACAGACTTTTCTCAACTTAGCACTTGGTACATTTCTCTTTATTTGATGAGCTTTTTCTTCCAATTGGTGCCAAGAGGTGAGTTGTGGATGCTAACTATTGTGTAAGAGAAGAGGATTACTGACTCCACAGCGTTGGCATATAACAGCAACTAAATGCACTTACAGTCGGGCTGGGTGAGTCTCCAGGCAGGAAATGTATGCAGTGAACTTCTAGGGAAATTCTGCTGGGAACACTGAACAAGAGTCTACTTTGTTCACTTTTAAATTCTAGCTACAGGAGGAAGAGATCAGGAGAAATGTAAAAAGTGAGAAATAAATCATCAGGCCAGAGTGCATGCAGATACATGGGTCAGGCTTAGGAAAAGGCTGGGTCTGTTAGTCAATCCTGAATCAAACCCAGTGTGCTGGTAAGGGGATTTAGCACTACCTGCAAGAATCCTAAAACGTAAGTATACTGACACTCCTGCCCCCTCACCCCAACCCACCCCAACCCCCACC